GTAGCTGAAAATGTAATTTACGAAATTAAGCTACAAGAAAATTGTAAGTGAACTGTGAAGCAAAAACTTGTTTTTCTGGACACATAAAATGCTCGTAAGTCGAATGTAGCAACTAAGTTGACCTCGGAAGCCTAGATGGCGAAGGCGCAATAGATTGCAGCATGAAAGAACAGTATGAGAAAAGAGGGCAAGAGGGAGATAAGACGTTTCGGTCCACTGAATCAATATACGTATTAAAATGTCTGGAAATAACGCCGTTCGAGACAAGGTTATAATACTCAAAATACAATAAGGGCATCCCTAAACGGCTAAAGCTTGGTTGAATAGTTCCATAGGAACCATCGAGCCACATAAAAACGCCACTATGGTCAACAGGCTAATCATTAGGCAATGTATTTTTAGGCAGAGCAACTGGGAAAGCTGTGAAATGCGCATAGATGAAGAAAAAGGATAACAAGAAGCAACCAATTTTCTACAATTTTCTGAATTTCAAATCTTTGAGCTCTAGCTATCTTCCGTTAAAAAAACAAAAATACGATCCAGGAAAATACAATAAAAAAGAACAAAACTCACGATGATCGGTTTCAACGGTAGCATCGCTGTCCATCAGAATTAGTGAAAGATAACCCAATCCCAGTGCAATAACACCACGAGTTTTCGCCGGTGAACTACTGCCCTTTAATAAAGTTAGCAAAGCTACCATCACAACCGAAGGACTTTGTTCAAACACCAATATTGACCTAAAATATAAGCAGAGCTGGACAACAGCGAAGCTAAAACTCGGCGAAGAAAAAAAAGAGACAAAGCGCGATTTCATGACTTTTTATCGTGATTTTTTAAAATTATAAAAATCGTGTAAGAAAGAATAAGAAAAAATTAGAGAATTAAGCGTCAGAATCACCAAAATGCTGATTGAAGTAGCAGATTCTGTGGTGGAAAAAATCACCTACTGCACAAATGGTGTGAAACTTCGTAGGGATGGAAAAATAGCTAGTCATTTTAAACAGGCAAGTGATTTAAGCAGCAAGATTAGCGGTTAAGGTGATCCAGGCATTTTTTAGTGATTAAGAGGTGAATTTAGGGCATTTTAGATGTAAGGTAAGTGATCTTAGACTTTTTAAAAAACTTCTGTTGCAACTGTCACATTAACGAGGTCCAATTGCAGCACTGAATGGGACTTTTTAGTGATTGAGGGTGATTTTAAGGCATTACAGATGTAAGGCAGGTGAAATTAGATTTTTCCAGATATTTTTCCTGTTACAATCGTCAAACTGATGAGGTCCAGTTACAGCACTGAATGGGAATGTATGCGAATTAATGGACCGAAACATTCCTATTCAGTTTTTAATTCCTTTTAATTATTACTTTCCTTTTAGTTACAATCTTTTTCATAACTTCATAAACTATACAAATTAACAAAAGACTTGACATAGCAACCAAGAACACGCCAAAACTATCCGAGTTATCCCCGTGGATATCCCGTATTAGTGATGTTACTAAATTCTATCCTTCCCGCCCTAAATCACATAGAAACCAGCCACGCTGGATTTTCTTCGGTTAGCGTGTTCCACTACTTCACAGGGTATGCTTCAGCCTATTTATGGCCGTAAAATACCACTTTACAGCTCTGACCTTTCTGCTAAACTCGCTCGGTATGACCAATTTTGGCTGGGCTTCTATCGCCCTTCCTTTTTATTCAATTACTGAGACACAGTAACACGTTTTTTCCAAAAAAAGCAACCTAATAAATTTCAGAGTCGCCAACAGCAGCAGCAGGGCTAACCATCGAGCAATATTCAGCATCGGTCAAAGCAATTGGAAAAAGTTACCAGCTGTATAGTTGGAGAACCAAACTATGAATTATGACAAAAAACACTGATTATTTTTGTTTGGAAGAAAAAGGCTTAAAATTTCACTTATACCACTAACCTGAGCGGTCCACAGAACGTAATTCCATAAAACCATATAATTTCAATGAAACAATTCCATAGCGCTAGCTGTGCTATCCTTAAACTCTGAAAAAGAGGTAAATTCGGTTCAGAATTTAGAACAGCCAAGCATCCAAATACCTTTTGGTGTATGGATTGCATCGTAGCACAGGCAGATTCAGGGCGGTTTCCTGAGGGAAGGGGGGGAGATTTAGATTTCCCCCTCTGGTCATCCCTACGTCGGAAGCTCCACTACCACCCCTCCCCCCCCCCCCCCCCCCCCCCCCCCCCCCC